TGGTCATTTTACATTTGTCAACTAGCTTATCAGCTATTTCTTGCATACAAGTTATCCAAAAACGCCTACAACAATATCCTTTCTGGCCTTTTTACATATATCAACTAGCTTTTCAGCTAATTCTTGCATACAAGTTATCCAAAAACGCCATCTTCAAATTCTACAACAATGTCCTTTTTGGTCATTTTACATTTGTCAACTAGCTTCTCAGCTATTTTTTTTGTCAAACGTGATAGTCTATCAGCTAATAGAAGCTAACGTGTTTAGTTCATCAGCTAGCTTTTCAACTATCAGCTAGCTTATCTGCTAATAGACGCTAACAGCTTGCTTATCAGCTAGTTTTTGTCAAACATAATTAGTTTATTAGCCAACTTTTCAGCTAACAACTAGCTTATCAGCTAATAGAAGCTAACGTGTATAGTTTAGCATCTAGCTTTTCAGCTAACAACTAGCTTATATGCTAATAACTAGCTTGATTTTCAGCCATAAGCTAGTTCGCCAAACATAGCCGTGCTTAAAGACCGTTGATAAACACCGGATCAACAAAATAGTCAAATCAAACAGAACAAACCCAGTCAAACTAGCAAATGTCAAACATATAAATTGGTAGGGAATACATTACATATCTAAACACCAACAATTTCCTATTTTCAACACTTCTTGTTAAGTTCACTACGGTTCTACCAATTCCTCTAGAAAACTTCAGATTCAAGTCAATTTTGAAGTTGAAAATGAGTTCATTGACTTCAAAAGTCAAAGGGTACTACCCCTTTTTCTTGGAAAGGAGGAGGGCACAAATTAATAAAGTTTCTAAAAGTACAAGAGACATAGATACCAAGATGACAGACCCAAATCATTAATCAAACAATTAGAAGTGTAATCATTGAGTTGAAGATTCGTATCAATTTCTAAAATCACATGCCAAATGAAAGAAGAACTCACAGAAATCCAATACCTGAAGAGGTGATAAAAATCCAGGAGAGTTGAGTAATCCAGAAGGACTAAACATAGATGGAAACATGAATCCAGTTGGCGATTGCGCAATTACCAAATCCATGGGTCGATTTTGCTTGAATCCCCCCAATTTCTTCGAAGACGAACAATCTTCAAACTCGGAAGTAGCGCTAGGGATTTGAGACGCCGGAGAAGCCATAGCGCCGGCGAGAAGCTGAGAAAACGAGCGGCAATCGACGTCAGGATAATGATCGGAGAAGAAGTTCGAAACGAGAGTCATCGGTCCAGGGCTGAAACCTGGTCCAGGTCCACCGGTAAATATGTTTTCGAAAGAAGATGCCGGTGGAACCGCAATCATCGGTGGAACTCGCCGTGACGTTGGCGGTGGCGGTGCTGCTGAACCTCCGTTTGTCTCCGCCATAAATCCCTACCCACAATACAACCTGTAAAAACTCCCAAATCGCCGCCACATTCAATTTCACAACACACTCTTTCTCTCAAATCCACAGCTTCTCTCAAAATTGAACTAGGGATTCCGATCTTACAGCTTTTGAAATCGATTCTTGAGGGTTTAATCTGAACAACTCCACGTCTCTTCGCTCCAATCAACCTTTGAATTCCGTATACAAACAGCAGTTTACAGAGAGTATCTGTGTGTCTCGCATCTCGATCTTATCCTTTCATGGTGGCAAATACTATAAATAATAAATAAATAAATTTACATAAATGGTCCTCCAACTATTCCATAAATTCTATTTTAGACCCTTTAATAAAATATCATTTTCATTATTTTTTATTAATTATATTAAATATAATTATTATTTAATCACTAAATTATATGACGATAATTCCATTTCTCAACATTTTCGATGCTTACAAACAAGTCATTTTCATACTTTCATAAAAATAGATCGTAAATATAACTTTTTCTAAAAATTTAAAAAAATTAAATTTCATTTACAATATAATATTTAATAAATTATTAATAAATGTCATGTCTGTTTTTTTTATTAATCTGAATATCCAACCCATTTTACAGGTAGTCCGGAGTCACCGCATTTGAACATTTATGGTCATAGGAGGATTTTTATTTCTCCTTCGATTTGAACTTGGGACCTCCAGACACTTTTGACCTTCGGAACTCAAATTCAAACTAATCGGGCAACACCCTTGTTGTTTGTCTGGGATATATTTCTGATTTGATCTGGTTTGGTTTTAACATTTATTATATTTGTCTCAAAATAAATATATGTAAGAAAAAAGGCATTAATGTAATTACACTTTTTAAAAGCATCTCCAACGGATTCTATAAAATTTAAAATCAAAAGTCAAAACTTCTAAAAGAAGTTATTTCATCTCCAACAGCTTCTCCATTTTAGAGATTATGATATTAATTATATTTTTCAAATACATAGTAATTAATATAACATTATTTTCAAATTCTTCTGGGCATTCATCGAAAAGAGATATGTGCTTCGAATTTGAAGGAACCATGGATAACACTGAATAGGGAGTAACCGAATACACCATGGCCATGTTCTATTCAGAGGAATAAAATGAAATTCGACATTCAAGGGTCACAGACATAGAACCTCGTTCAATAAGTGGAATGCATTAGTTGTCCGCTGTCAGGTTGGACAATAAGGGTCAGAGAAGGGCAATCACTCATTCTTAAAACCAGCATTCTTAAGGCCAAATAGTCAGCGTCTCCAAAACATTTAATATTCAAGAGTGATGGTTAGAAAAATAAAAAATAACTTCCCTTTCCAAAGTAATCATTTTCGGTGATTATCCAAATTTGAAAACTCTCTTTCTCTCTCTCTCTCTCCTAATTTTCTCCATTTTGAAGAAAGTTTTGAAAATTTTGTTAGAGCCTCCAAAAATCTTTATTTTGGAGAATCTGTTAAAAATGTTCTGATAAATTAAATAATAACTTTTTCTTTGATATCAGATGGAGTAACGGATTTTTCTATCCTTTAATTAAGGATACTATTAGAAAGTTGACACTTAGGTGGCGTTTGTTTTTAAGAGATGTTGAAGTCTGAAATCTGATTTTACTTTTGATTTTTAAGAGGTGGTTTGAAATCTGAAATCTGAATCAGTTAAACTGTTTGTTTTTGTAAACTGACAAACATCTGAAGTCTGAAATCTGAATCAATAGTTTGCTTTTGTAACCAACAAACATATGAATATGTATAATTTCTTATTTCACTTATGTTTATATTCCCAATATTCCTTTAATTCTTCTTTCTCCTCCAGATCAAGCCTTTCATCCTCAATCTCCACCCTCATCCCACCACCACCACTCTTTCTCTAAAATCCAACGCCCAAATCCACCTCTAAAATCGAAGCAAATCTCCATCGTGATGAAAACTACAGTGACGAAAACTACAGGGACGAAAATACCTTGATTCACGAGGATAAAGGTGCACAACTACTGGTTTGCACATGAACGAAAACACACAGGGAAGAAAACCCTCTTGATTTGGGTCGATTTGAAGCCACTAGAGGCGATGGAGGGTGAAGTCGATCAATAGAGACAGTGAGGAGGGTGAAGTCGATCGAATGATGAAGTAGAAATCGGTTCACTAGATAGTCTTCAGGATTAAGAGAAAAATAAGTGGCTAGGTTATTACTTAATTGAAAATAAGGGATAAGTGGCTCTGAAAAGGAAAGAAAAACAAACGGTCTGAATTGTCTTATGTCTGATCGAATCAGACATAAGTGATAAAATAAGAGCTTTTTAAAAAAAAAACAAAAACCACTTTAATGTTATAAGAAAAAAATTATTTATTTATAAACAAATTAAAATAGAAATACAAACATTTATTTTAGGACAGATGAAATAATAATTTACCAAAATACTTTAAAATTTTACCTTTCAAATCTCTTTTTAAATAATAAAATATATTAAAAATAAATATTAATTTTGTTGGATTTCAATAATTTCAAATAACAAACTACTAATAACCATTGTAATTTAACTTTAAAAACACATTGGCTTAGAAAAAGATGTAGTGCTAATTCGGGGTTTTCATGGGTTTGGTTGATTGAGTTGAAGATATTTGAACAACTCAATCATATGTTTGCGGTTTGAAAATTTTTAACTCAACCCAAACCAACGTGCAACTCAACCAATTCAAACCGTACGGGTTGGTCGGGTTGATACTTTGATACATTAAAAAAAAATTCTAACCTTGAATATGTTATTTTTCTACCCATACTTTATTTTTCTACTCATAATTTATTTTTCATCATCAACCATTTGATACAACTTATTCATACTTCTTAAATCTTACGTATATCACAGTTAATTAATTTTCTCATTTTACATATATATGTTCACAGTTACTGAACGTATATACAAATGAATTATATAGAGATATAGAATAAATTGAAAATATGTGTACATGAATAGGATACGTAATAGTGTAATTGTCTAATGTATATATTAATAGTCAACAATCATATTAAATCCAATAAATACTAGGATATCGGTTTCATCGTGTTGGGTTGGGTTCAAATAATAGTAACTCAATTTCAACCTAATACCTACTGTTTGAAAATTTTACAACTCGATTAGATATCGGATTGTTTTTTGTCATATAATTTTTTTCATCGATAGACTGTATTTGGAACCATAACTCTTATTTATTCAAATTGTATTAATATGTAAAGACCAAATGTAACTTATACCATCGTTAAATCTTCTCTAATAAAACCAGTGAAACTTCAAAATCATTAAAATTCACAGCAACCGCCGCATTACACGGATACACAACTGGTATATATATATATATATATATATATATATATAATTAAGAAATACGCATACCACCACCCAAAATACCCCACAGATTTGTCATTCATGAGGCATACTATTTGGATTCATGTGGCGGCTTCCAAATTTCTTGAACATCATGTCTACAAAATTTAATAAAATTAAAAAAATATATAATAAAACAAAAAGGTAATTTTATTTTATTTATATTTTTCAATTAAAAAAATAATTAAAACAACTGTATTTTGTTAGATTCGTTATTGTTTTAGGTAATATTATAAAATTAAATAATATTTTAAAAATAAAAATGAGTTGTTAAAAAAGGGGACTCATAACAGTTATATTTTAATTAATAAATATTGTAAAAATAGCAGCCTTTTATACAGCAGCATGACTTAAATGTTATATATGCATTGTATCACATGCATTTAACTTTATTTTTTTTAATAATAAAATGTTAGAGGTTGGTTATTATACAACGTTTGACATTTGTACAATCATTATAACTCAATCTCAACCGTCCATTTCATTTGATTAATATGTTATTTTATAGAAGTTTTGATTGTTTCTTAATATAAAGTATTGATCATAATTAATGAACCATATTCATCTTCCATAAATATTCAAATCATAATAAATGAACTCTCATCATTTCCATAAATATCTCAATTTATTGGGTTGCATTGGTTGTACAAATGCGATAAGTTGTATTTGAAACAAACTCTAAAATGTTATTGCTCTGGAAAATTGACTCAAACAGCTATTCCACTCATTTGAATTGGTCTCATAGTCATTCATCTCTCGGGTTTACCTAAATATCATTGCGTCTGCATTATTCATGTATGCAATATTACGGACCTGGCTAAAAGAAAAGACAGAAAAAGATTCAAATTCTACTGTGTTAGCAAATGGTATCGTTGCAACTGCGGACCTGGTTGTCGCAATTGCATACCTAGGTTGAATTTGATAGTTATTTTGTGTCTTTTAGTCAGGTCTGTAATATTGCGGACATGGATATCGTGGATGTACTGATATTTGAGTAAACCCAAGAGATGAATGACTACGAGACCAGTTAGAATGGGTGGAATGGCTATTAAAGTCAATTTCCTTTTTGTTTTTTCGTTTAAATGGTTGATCTCAGGTTTCGTCCAAACTAATGCAGTAATAAACTAGGACTGTTATCTTTTTTTACAGCATTAATGAACTGTTTGGTTGGTTTTCTATTAAGTTCTTCTATGAGGAAAGCTAAGTGTGTGGATTAATCTGTTTTCGTAAACTACGAAAGTTTTTATTTGGAATGGTTTTTTTCATAAATGGAAGAATCGTGCTTTTTAAATTGAAGGGACAAGTTTAGAAAAAAAAAATTAGTTTTCTACATAAAATTACCCTTTAGAAGCTTATTGAATAAGCCAATTTCTACATCATTAAGCCACTACCAAATAGTCATATATAACTGAATGAATAAGTTGTGAGTCACATTAAACTCAATAAACTGTTAACAAAGAAGCCCTAAGGAAAATCTCAATGGACACAAACCCATATATAGATGGTTGTCGGGGTGTTATTTGGGCGGTTAAGTCGGTTTTTTATTTACTCGGTTTCGGTTAATCGATTTTTAACCTTTTTAAAAGCCAACCGATAACCAAACCAAATGTGGTTCGGTTTAATCGGTTTCAAGTTATTCGGTTTGTTAAATGCTTAAACCGAATAAGTATTCATATTTTTCATTAGACACTTGCTCAGATAATTTTCCCAAATTCAATGCCCATTGCTTCTAATATATAATCCTATCATTGACATGTATTAAGTAAAAAAAACATAATCTACCAAAAACCAGTATTTACCAAAGACACTATTTTTTTATGCAACAAATTATATCAATTAAAAAATATAATATAACAAAAAAAACATTATACGAACATGAAAAGCTTCCAAAACCAAATGGGTCTATCAAACCTTAAATGGTCATTAATACATGGTTGTAGACAACCCACCAACTCAATAAGAATTAAATTAAATTTAATCTATAATTATATATGGAATACAGATCATTTGTATAAATCGTGTAAACTGATCTTAATCGTTAATCTAGTTTAATGAATATTTGTTTTTATAAATATCTCGATTGTTTACTAATATATAACGTTGATCACAGTGAATGAACTTTACTCGTCTTTCATAAATATTCATGTCATAATAAATAAACTTTTATTATTTCTATAAATATCTTGTTTGATTGGTTTGTATTAATTACAGGATGTGTATTTGAAATTTCATCTCTCTCTCCCCTCTCTCTCTCTCTCTCTCTCTCTATATATATATATATATATATATATATATATATACAATGTGTGAAGAAAATATCCATAGAGAACCTAAAAAAAACCAAAAAACCCACAAAAAAACAGATCGAAAATGTCAAAATAGATGTCAATTTAAATATTTTAAAGTGAACATTTTGTTGTGTAATTTGTTTCGGTCTAATTTTTGTTATATCTCACCAATTTTTTGTTTTAAAAATATGATGAAATATTGTTTTAGAAAAAGTGTCAACCGCATCTATTGAATCATCTCAGTCTAACGATTTTAGGTGAGTTCTTCATTTTTTTTTTTCAAAGTTCTCTCCATTCTCATCACATAAGAAGTATGGGTGCTCAAAAACCGACCAACCGGGCCAATCCAACCTGGAAAAACCCAAAAAAGCTCAAGGAAACCTAGTTGATACAAAATTAAGCCAAACCACATCTATCAGATTGGAATTGGGTTAGGGTAATTTGAACCCAACCCACTGACCCCGAAGTCTTTCTATATATGAATTTAATATGATTGTTAAGTCACTGATTAACATATACACATTTAGACATCAGACCAACCAGTAATCACCTATGTTCAAAATTATATTACAATTTCAACAGTAATTTACTTTTTTTTTTGCATGTCATTTTTTTTTTTTGAGTTTTTTGGCCTTTTTGTATGCTCTAATTTTGTTTTTTACTTCGTTTAAACACATACGTTTAACTAAATTGTAAAATAATTTATTTTGTTTTTGCATTTTTTTTAGGTGCATATGGTGGCAGGTGTCATCGCTTCATAGTTCAATTGTAGTAAAGAAATTACATTTACGAAGGCTACCAATGTAAAAATTTTAAAACTAAACTTACAACTGAAGTCTGTGGTGACCGGATGGTTTCATTATCATAAAGAAAAGGAAGCGGAAGTGGCTCGGCTGTTCCGCCTAGCATGAAATCCACTGATTTCTGCCGCTTCCGTTATTGCTGCTAGATTGGCTATCAGAATAAAATATCTCGCCCGAAAAAGACGTCGGTTCGAATCCCGCTTTTAGCAATATACCCGTTTTTAGATTTTATGTTTATATCTTTTGTGAAAAAGTCGGAGAAAAGCAACGAGGCTGGGTCGAACCCATGACCTTTTGTATGCAAATGCAAGTAACCAACCAACTAATCTATAATGATTTTATGAAAATTTAATCTCTATTTTACTTCCTCATTGATGCCACATATGTTTAGTTGTATGAATACTACAAAATCCGAAATCAACAACGAACCGTAACTAAAAGGCGACGAACTGATGTAGTTTTCAGCAATCGAACGGTTTCGAGCATCTATGCGGAAAGGTATAGCAACGACTCACAGTTTGGTCTCGAGAAAGTAGGTTGAAGAAACCGCCAAGCCATCGATATCGTAGGTGCGAACCAGTCTCTGCCTTTTAGTCGGTGAGTCGAGCCAACAGAACTCCAAATGGAAAGCCTTGGCTTCACTCACGTGCTTCCCGACATTGCAAGGGCACCCCATGTACATTCCCCCGGGCAGTAACGTTATTTGGAAACCACCGTCGTAGCTGACTAAGTTTTCGGTAATGGTACCCGTCCAACGGACGTTTGTGGATACATTTTTAGCCTTGGATGTCGAAGTTTGATTCTGTTTGCATTGCAAGGATGAACAATGAAAAGTTAGTTAAATCATCAAACCAAATCTACGCAAACCGACCTAGTAAACGTAGGGTCCAGGGAGGGTGAGATATATACAGACGATGTTCAAAAGGCGGCCTGGCATGCCATGGCTTAAGCCCCGTGTCTCACGACACGTTAAGCTTGTGGCACAGCGTGGCCCAATCCGTGGTTTTTGTAACATGATATTTGATTATTTTACCTTTTTAGCAGTTAGTATATAAGCCAATTTAAATTGTTTAATATCATTAACTCATTGAGTATTGTTAAGAAAAATATGTGCATGCATATATATATATATATATATATATATATATATATATATATATATATATA